AGCCATGATGTGGCCATGCAACCCAGGGCCCATTGAGCTGCCTAAGTATCTGCCTGAATGCCGATATGCGTGTCTGGCCCAGTGTCAGGGGGCAGGGTCAGCGTAATGCAGGGTTCCAACACTTCCCCTTGCATCAAGGTTGAGCAAGGCATCCCACCATACAGAATGGGCTCCAATTGAAGTGTTTTTTGAAAAATATAAAACACAATCCACACACAAAAAGACAAGAAAAAAACATATTAAACATAAGAAATACTTGAAAACTCATATTTTCAGTTGGTAAGACTCAACCAATGGGAAGGGAATGGAGTGATTTGCCATTAACTGGCAGCAGGATCTTGGACTGTTCTCAAGCTCTCCAGCACTGGGAATACAGACAACACAGCCTTGTTCTCAGCGCCTGGCCTACTTCCTACACCACAGGATCCGCACCCATGGGCTCTGCTTTGACAGTCCCCCAACTCACAACCAGTTCCATGTCCCTGCAACATCGTGTCTCCCATTTAGTGCTTCACCAGCAACCCCTCCACGCCTCTTACAGTTCCTCTTCTTCTACCCACCGAAGTGTGATCTGACCTTTAAATCCTCGCCTGGGGCTGAGGTCTGGGCCTGCTGGTCAGCTCTCGAAGAAAGAGTCTTTTCCTTCACAAAGACTCCATTCTGACCTCTGTGATCAGTCTCACGCCTATTCGTGGGAGTCACACCTTGGTTAGCATTGGTTTTAATCCATCAGCTCAGCATACCGCCTGAGGGCTGGTTAGCACTAGAAATCCCCCACTTCCCCTCTACTTGAGCCTCTGTGTGCTTCTGCAGCCCCTCGAAGCCTTCTAATCTCCTTTTCTTCTCAGCACCTGTCAATCATGCTGCAGCTAACTAGACCATCACACTAATGCTATGAGCGACGCGTGTTTCTTTGAGAGGCAAGACCCTGTAGACGTGAAGAAGGTAGATTTTCCAGGGCCGGGCTAACTGAGTTAGAAACAAAATTCCGTCCCACCACCTACCATCTAGGTGACCTTGTTGATCATTAGAAGTCTGATTCTACTCCACCTGCAAGGTAACAAGTTAGTGGGCCACAGTCTGGTGGATGCTGGCAAGAGACAAGACTCCCGATCAGTGACAATAGTTTATTCCTCACAGGAAGAAAGACAACCAGAGCGTCAGCATTTGTGCTGGCCTCCTACACTTACAACTGCGCATGGAACATACTGCACTGCAGCAGAGTCCTGAAACACAAGGCACCCAAACCTACCTCTGTCCAGGGGGAGAAATCATCTTTATTATATTGCAAACCATTATATAGCAAACACTTCTGCTTCTTACTAGGAAGGAGACAGTGTTTCTACCTTCAAAGGGCATTCACTGCAGAAACAACCTTGACAAAGTCTCTGTAAAATGTGCTGAGGAGAGACGGGGTGGTGCAGGGAGGAGGAGACAGCCATGAATAATTATTTCCCAATAACCCCTATAAGCTCGCAACCCTCAGATCTCGTTTTAAAAAGTGCAACTATTGGTATAAAGAATATCCTTGTGAAGGTCAAAGAGGTGCGATTCTTACAGAAGTCTGCACATCATGCCTGCCACCCTGAACCATGCCTGTTTCATTGATGAAGTGGCTTCATATATGTCAATTTCTACTACAAATGATATTTCTTGAGTTAGATGCAAACATGTTTATTGAATTCTTGGTAACTTTTAGCAAATATAATGTTACAGCTCACTGATATTCCTAATGATTTGAGCCATAAAACATTAGAACTAAAAACTACCTAATCTTTGTGTCATACAGATAAGGAAGTAGATTCAGAGCCTTTTAGAGACTTGTTAAATTTCACACAGAAAAGTCACAAAAAGAACAAAAAGCAATGTGACTTAAAATTCAGATCCTCTTAGGGACTGGAGAGATGGCTCAGTGGTTCAGAGCACTGACTGCTGTTCTAGAGGACCTGGGTTCAATTCCCAACACCTACATGACTCGCAACTACCTGTGACTACAGTTCCAGAGGACCTGACACCCCCTTCTGGCCTCTCTGGTATGTAGACATACATGTAGGCTAACACTCATACATGTAAAATAAAACAAATCTTAAAAATGTAAAATTCCAGATGTTTCAATTACATATAAAGCCTGGGAGAAAGAGCTCAATATTGTCATCACGAATCAAGTGAAGCAAGGCTTTAGAAAGCAGTTCATGCCGGGCGGTGGTGGCACACGCCTTTAATCCTAGCACTCGGGAGGCAGAGGCAGGCGGATCTCTGTGAGTTCGAGGCCAGGCTGGACCGACAGCCTCCAAAACAATACAGAGAAACCCTGTCTCGTAAAACCAAAAAAACAAACAGTTCATAAATTCATTTGGCTACATCTTTCTTCCTACTTGCTTGACTTACAGGCCATGCTAGACTTGCTGCAGAAGGGAAACATAATCAAAACAACTGATGGAGAGTTAAATATGTAATTGCTGAGGTCAGGTTGTGAGTTATAAGTTACAGTTTGTCTATACTGTATAAAAGTGTCTTGTCCTAAGAGACTCTGTTTTAAAATGAGTGTTTGATTCTGTCTTGAAAATAGAAGATATCCCTGAACTTGGATGGAGATATGAATGGGACCATCTGCTTGATACCTAACCCATGAATCAGGGACTTATTCTTGGAGTAAAAAAAGGAGCTACCCCAGAAACTTACTGTGGTGAATTGATAATATGGGAGTCCATGCTGTATTAAAACTTGATCAGGAACACAAAACCGAAGAACTTGCCAGGTGTAGCAGACCAAGGAAAGAGTGCAACTCCCTCACCTAAACCCCATACAGAGGTAGACGCCATCACTGCAACGGTGAGAGCAACCTGCCCTCTGAGCACCCGATACATACATCAAGGGATGGAAAGTGAACTCCCAACTGTTCCCGGGGCTGCAGCTTAGCCCAGCCACACTGCTGATGAGCCCTCCTCACACTGCTGTTCGTCTGCCCTACCTCTTGTTCATCTACCTAGATGGGCCATCCATCAATCTACCTGGCCTGGTCCTGCCCCTCACTTCACGTCATTCCTACAGCCATCTCTAATTCTGACTCTACCAGCAGCAGTTCCAGCAGCTTCTGGTTTCTTCCCCAGCTCAATTTAGTTCATTATCAATACAAAGATTCTTAGGTCGTTATCAGTTTCCCAGCTTTGGCCTCTTGGGCCTCTTTGGAACTCTCCAAAACCCCTGCCCTTTTAATCCTTTGCAGCCATTCTGTAACACACACATGCACAGGTGCACACACACTTGCAGTCTGCAATATGTGGGCTGAAAATTCATATTAGCAATTAAGATTGGAATGAAAGAACCTGTGGTCAAGGTTGTCAAGGGAAGTTGGACTACCTGGCAAGTGCAGTCATTGGACCCATTTACTTTGTGAATGTACTGTTGTTTACTAAATTCTGGCGTCGTGAAAGTCACATGTTGACCTTTGTTTCTGACACAGTGAACTCACATCAGTGACCTATAGATCCTCCTCTCTGCTCTCTGTTATCCACATAATAGCCATCATCTCCGTAGCAGGAAAATAAAAAGTACACACCAAACAAAACATGTCCACCCCAAACAGGAAAACTGCACAGGAATGCTCCCAGTGTATGGTTGATGTTGAACATGGTCCCATTTTGGCCAAAGGCAGGGAAGTGAGGAGGGATACCGGAAGCTTTATGTGAACCAGTCCCTACTGGCTTACAGGCAAGCCTATTATTAGAGAGTGACAGGGAAGAGCAAGACATGGGACAGAGGAGAAGCAGAAACAACATTTGCTTCGGGAGGCAACTCGACGGCTCACTGACGCAACCTATCCTGAGAAATCTGCAAAATAAGCTTGTGGGGTTTTGTGCTTCTTGGCTTCTCTTCTGTTGTTTTTCTTTTTTCTTTCAGAATGAGGTCATAGTTTTAGCTATTCTACAGAGATCTGAAATTCCTCTAGGGACTCTGGGCCAGAGGTGTGTGGCTGGGTAGTTGAAGCAAGATAATAAATGATAAAGAATGGGAATCGTGTTTTGTGTTTTATTTCCCCCCCAAGTCACCCTTCACTCCAGGCAGCTCCATTCTGGGTGTCCCAGAGGTGCCTCACACTTGGTCTACACAGCCAGCAATGCACCCCCTGCTGGCCACTGCTCGAATTGCTCTGTGTGCCTTTGGGCCTCTTCACCGGCACAGGGGTGGGGGACAGAGAAATCCCAGATAAATGTCACTTGCTCCTCTTATTTGTGAAAATTTGTTCAGGGGTTTTTGCCGGAACATCCTGTCTGCCTGGAATCAGATGCTCTAGAGATAGGCAGGATCCTCAGACTTGGACCTCCTGTCGAGAAAGACTTCTCTAGGTCTGGCATTTCTGGGCCTTCCAGCTGGGCATTTCTTCCCACAGGAGGTGTTTTCTCTCGTGGGCTCTGAACCTTTTCTCAGACAAGTTGCTGCAGACCCATTCCAGCTTGCATTCTTGCCTAATCGTATCTACCTGGTAGTGGACCCAAGCAGAAATATTTTACACAAGAGCTCCAGGCCTGGAGCCCCTAAGTTCCATTCTCATAGACATGCTTAAGTCTGGTAACTGTCAGGCCTTGTCAAGGTCCCTTTTATAGACCTATGTGTCCACGGGGATTCACCCACGTCCTGCCCTCCTCTAAGTCTTAATGTGAATGCTTGCTTTAAGTTCCAGGGACATTCCAGTTCTCTCCTTGTTTGTTTTCCAAAGCTGGAGTGGGAGATATATCAAACATACTTTCTGCGTTATATCTCTTGGGATCTTTTGCTCCACTCGCTTCATGTTTTCATAGATGTGAATTTCCCAGTTAAAGATTGATTTACGCCATCTTACAGCTGACTCTGAAACGCGTGCCCCCCAAAGTTGAGATGGGAGTGTTAACGGCTCAATGCCCGGTTCATTTGATTGAAAGGAAAGCACTGCAGAGGCGGGAAATGTGGGCTTTGGTGTAGGGGTGGATGCTCTAATGTCCTGTATGTTTTCTGTGCCCCAGGTTATGCAGATGTATCTCCCATTCTGTGGAATCGCCATATCTAATGCGCAGCTCTTCGCTGCCTCGAGGAAGGAGTACGAAAGAAGCAGGGTGAGTAGAAAGACATGGTAGAGCATGCTTCCGGCTCCCTGTCTTCCCGGCTCCTGCATGCTTCCGGCTCCCTGTCTTCCTGGGTCCTGCATGCTTCTGGCTCCTGCATGCTTCCGGCTCCCTGTCTTCCCGGCTCCCACAAGACACCCCATCTTTTAAAAGCAGCAGATGATCTCTGCATAGTCCAAGAATCATTTTCATGTGTACAATCCTGCAATGCCCGGGATGAATACCCCTTAATACAATGTGCAAGTTATAGATAAAAGTAAATATAAATTCTCTGTTATTGTTGTCTCTGGAAAATAGAACTGGTTCCTTTTAAAATGGGAATTAGTCTCACGTCTATACTATGTGGCGGCTGGCATGGCCTTGGTGCTTGTAGCTTCGAAACAGCAGCATTTGCTGACGATTTTATACTATAGCTCCTTCAGGAAGTGTGGCGATATATTGTTCATGATTTATTAAAGCTCGCCTGAGGATTCAGAAGAGCAAAGTCAGCCTCAAGCTACAGAGATCAGGCAGTGGTGATACACACCTTTAATCCCAGCAGCCAGAAGCTAGGAGGTAGTGGTACACACCCTTAATTCTAGGACTCGGGGTTAAGAGGTAGACGGATCTCTGTGAGGTCAAGGCCACCCAGAGCTACACAAGAATGAATCAGTATGTCACACCTTTAATCCAAACATTAGGGAAGTATATAAGACAGAGCAAGGTCTCAAAGAATTCATTCTCCAGCCACACTGAGAGGCAGCACCAGAGGCAGAGGCAGTGATCTTACACACCTCCAGGAATCGTAGAACCAAGCAGTAAAGCATACCCAGAAGCCCAGAAAGCATTAATTAGCAACTACAGATTAAAGGATATTAAGTTCACCTACATTTAAATATGTGAAGATCACTGTTACAGCCTAGAAATATACTCTATAAGAAACTGTTAATCAAGGATGAAATCCCTCAGCCATTAAATGGACTGCAGTCTATTTACTAAGAGTTACGACTATTTTATAGTAAACAGATGAATGAACACTGCTGGACACACAGCCATCCTCCTTAGGCATAGCACACTTTGCTCTCACTGGGCCTCCTTTTCGTCTATTTACTAAGAGTTACGACTATTTTATAGTAAACAGATGAGTGAACACTGCTGGACACACAGCCATCCTCCTTAGGCACAGCACACTTTGCTCTCACTGGGCCTCCTTTTCATCCTCAGAGCTCCATCTTGTTCATGTCTTCCTTTCATGTGCTGCTGCAGCAATATGCTTCCATGGCTTCCAGAAGCCACTTTTGTTTTCACTTTATCACACTCCTACCCACATTCTCCTCTGCCTTCAATGCCTCTTCCCCCTCCCCGTATATCCTTCAGGACCCAGCACAGATGCTTTCCCTTGTTTGAGTGTGGGCACCCTCACACTAGTACCGTATTTGACGGTAACCCTCTCCTACAACTGCACTGTGACTTCCTTAAGAGGAACTTCTTGTCATACCAAGGCAGTCTTTTCATGCTTTTGTGTGGCACAGTTCACTCATTCATTCAACAAGTGTGTATTATGTGCTTCTCATGAGACACTGTCCTGACAGAACTGACTATTCTAGTGCAAACAATAGGAAATGGGGAAAAAAAGACAAAAGTCACACAGTGCCAGACAGAAAAATGAAGTGAAAGAAGGGATGGACAGTGTTGTGGACGGGGTAAACGGACACTGATATTTGAAGGTGATGAAAAGGTATCTGTAAGGAGACGGCAGAAGAGGAATGAAATGAGAGACCACAGGAAGACCTGGGCAGAGCATCCAGAGCATGGACACCGCAGGTACAAAGGTCCGGAGTTCGTGAACAGGGAGAACGGAGAGACACAAGGAGCAGATGAACAACAAGTGAATGAAGACAAGGGGGCGAACGGGCCAGTGGGTAGAGAGGCCCGCTGGCGTTTCAGGGACTGTTGATTGTAAGAGTGGTGGAAAGCCACTAGGAAAGTTTGAGCTGATGCCTATTTGTTAAAAAAAAAAAAGAAAAAGAAAACAGCCTGGCCTCCTTGGAAACCAAGGAGGGCTGAGAAGAGTGAAAGAGTGAGAAGGGATCTGAAGGCAGGGAGAGGAGTTAGAAGAAGACTATGTTGAAGTCAAGAGAAACGGTAGCTGCCATTAGGGCAGTAAGAAGTGAGAAATTCCCGGCGAATCACTGGTGATGCGTGCAGGGCTTGCTGATGTGGGAGGCAGAGAAGGAGACTTTGGGTTTACACACAAGTTTCTGGACAGCAAATACTTGAATTAAGGTCTTAAATTTGAGGGAGTATAACATTAAAGGATGGGGATCATGCAGAGCCAGGAGTCTTGCTGGGGAATCGAGAGAGGAAGAAGGTATGGATAGGAGAGAGGATGATCCAAGCTCAGGAGTAGAATGGGAAGGGTTACCCAGCAATTTCCTACACAGAAGTGACAGTTACGAGGCAGGGCACATCCAACCTTGTGAACTGTTTCTACAGCCTGTCCAACTGTTTGATCATCCTAGATTCCCTGTCTTTTCCTCCTCTTCTGGAGGTAGCCCTTTTGCTACTGGTAAGACTTTTACCATTTGTTAGCAAGGCAGCAATTTTAAATTAGAAAGAATAAAATGACTATAGTATGATTCATCAGTGCAAGACTCCAGGGGTATTAGTTCCTCCTGTGAGGGAAATGTTCTTGTAGACAGATCCCAGAGGCTCTCCATGCAATCATAACAAATTGAAAAGTTAAATAATTGTTCAGTTAATATGATCCATCTGAAGAAGTAATCTAAGTGATTACGGCAATGATGTTTCCCCCTTAATAACAGGGAATTTGCTTGTAATTACTCAGACAATTGTCTGTCTTTGAAGAAATTAGTTCTCTTATTTTTTGAGATTATAATTGGATCATTTTCCTCGTCTATTTCCTCCCTCCAAACTCTCCCAAACATCCCTCCTTGCTCTCTTTCAAATTCATGGCCTCTGTTTTTCATTAATTGCCACGTGAGTATATGTTTCTACACACACACACACACACACACACACACACACACACACACACACACATTCCTGAATACATAAACACAACCTGCTCAGTCTGTATGTGACTTGTATGTCTGTTTTCAGGGATATTTGGGATTGGGTAACCAATTGGGTATTCTTCCCTGGGTAAGAATTGTCCCTCATTTAATGTCTTTGAACATGAAGTTACAGCACAGTGACCTCTCACCGCAGTTTGCTGCCCTAATACCAAAGAGACAGGCTTCAACTAACATGGTATTTGCACCTTAGTGTTTCCCTTTGCTTTGGAATTCTGGGGCAATATGATGCTTATCCACTGGCAGGAGAACACTCCCAGGAACTCTGCTCCTCCTCGGGGTAGCTCATCGGCTAGGTTCATTTCACACATCATGTAACTCATCCAAGTGCTTTTAAAAAAAAAAAACCTCAAGAAAGTCAGAGATTTGTTTCAAATTATTTCAGGACAAGTTCATCCTGAAGTTCAAAATTAGTCATGCCCTTGGGCTGTTGATCAACACCATGATGAGTAGATTTGAACCTGTGGATTCACGGAGTCCTTTTGTGAAAGGTCAGACAGACGATCAAACATCTTGAATGTTACTGAGTAAAGCACAGGCCCAGTGACTGGCCGTGTGATTCCTCGATGGCCCTGAAAGAAGCCTAATTTCTACCATCTATAAATACCCTGTTATTCTGCAAATTCTGAAAAAAGTTATTAAAAATCCCAATCAAATATTATCAATTCATGAATTGCAAGCCCCCTTGGCTAGAGAAAATAATAGGTTATTGCAACTTAATTTCGAAATGAGTACACAGTGTTCAACTTGTAATTTAAATTTTTACCTTTAATTTACGGACCGTTCAATCTACCATCTTAACAGTAATTTTAATGAGGTTTTACTCCCCCCCTGAGGTATACGGTAATGTCTAAATGTTTTTACTGGACTGTTGGGAGTGAGGTGATATTTCCTCTTCTTGAATGGAGAGATTAGTGTGAGAATACGTATTTGGATGCTTTGAGCCTTAATTAACATTTTACCTGTATTGTTTTTTCAGAATTCTGAGAGAGATAACCTGTATTGTTCTTTCAGAATCCTGGGAGAGACATGTGTTAGCAAAAATAGGTATCAAGTTTCTCACAAAGCTATTTTTTTCCCTTAATAGTGAAAAAAGGCTGCTTTGCAGTTTTCTGAAATAAATATGCTCTGAAGAGATCCATGTACTTGTTATTTATAAAATGTCGGTTTTACATTCAGTCATATTGACTGAATTTAGTGGGTAAATCTCCTACATGTAGTGGCTTTATGCTTCCCATTACACGGACCACCTCCATTCTCTGGCTGTATTTTTTAATTTAAGAGAGCATGTTATAAAGTGATTTGCAGAGCAATGTGAGAACAACCATAAATGTTTCAAAAATTAGCCACACAAAAGATTTGTTCTTAGAGAAAATACCACATGGAGTTTTGAGGGAAGGCAAAGCTGATTGCTTTTCAGTCCTACACTTCCTAAGTAACGTGCCTCTCTGTCTCCAGGCTTTGCTGGAGGTGGTCAATGATCTCTTCGAAGAACAGACGGACCTGGAGAAGATTGTCAAGAAAATAATGCATCGGGCCCAAACTCTGTTGAAATGTGAACGCTGTTCGGTTTTACTTCTAGAAGACATCGAATCCCCAGTAAGTTACCCTCTGCTTTCTACGTGGAGTCAAAGACTGGGCGGAAGAAGTTTATCCGCAATTAAACTTGCCAGCAGAGTGTTCTTCCAAGAGGAAGGGAGGTTCTTCCCTTTAGATGTTTCCCTTCTCATCTTGTCCTCACCCTGGAAACTAAACCCTTTAAGTGGATGGGGACCTTAGCGTCCCCCTAGCTGCGTGTATCTAGTGGAAGACGACTCTCAGGTGTGCAATGATGCCCAGCATCACACAACTAAATTAGAGGAGAAGGCCAAGCGCAGCCCCTACACCCCCATCTTATTTGCTCAGCACAGAGCAGGCTCCTCTCCAGTGTGCCCGGACTGCAGTAAGGGCAGTGTCACTCGGCCCTCAGAGGACTCAGGGAACAAACAAAGGACCAGAGCCTGGGCAGACTTGTGAGCCGGCTTAGCTGGGCGGTGCTCTGCAGTAGGTTGGCTCCCGGGGTTTCTAAACTCCCTCACTGCTGCTTTGGGCTAGTACAAACCAACCCGGAGCAGCCCACGCAGAGAAGGAAGTGCCTGACCTCACCTCGGGGTCTCCTTGTTCTCCAAAGTAGAGAAATACAAGATCTCTGGCACAGCACATTTTGATGATTTGTGACCAGCTTCTGGGTTTGGTGCAACCCGTGGGTCTGCTTGGGAGAAATCAATCGAAAAACAAAACAAAACAAAAAATATATGGAAAATAATGGTTACCATCTATCTAAGTAAGCGCTTCAAAGCTAAGTGTCTAAAGTCCCAGCACAACTTAATACATTTGCTGAGACTTACTTCAAAGACCAAGAATTGTCTAGCTTTTAAGAGCTGTTTTAATGTCTCAGGGAGACTTTAAGGAACTTAGACTACAGGAAACTTAGAAAAGAATATAACTGCTTTCACTTTTAGGTTGTTTTCCTCAAAGAATGAGATTATGAGGTTAAAATTATGATAAGTATAATACAGTTTGTTTAGAATCTGTAGGGGCACATATGGGAAACTTGACAACATGAGTTTTAGTTCTGAGTGTTCATATAGAAATGTGTGCATAAGGGGCTGGAGAGATGAGTCAGAGGCTAGGAGCACTGGCTGCTCGTCCAGAGGTCCTGTGTTCAACTCCCAGCAACCACATGGTGGCTCACAACCATCTATAATGACATTTGGTGCCCTCTTTTGGCATGCAGGCATACATGCAGGCAGAACACTGTATAAATAAATAAATCTTTAAAAAAAGAAATATAAGCAAGTATGAATTAACCATAAAGTTTATTAAAGGGCAGCAAAGAGGGACACTGAGTGGAATTCTGCCTGAAAATCTATATAGAGGCACTTGAAACAGATTAACTCTTTTTTTTTAAGCTAAACAAGGAGCAAAAGGGAAAAGCTTTGTATAATGGTGTTTGATGAAGCCCCTGCTCACAGTCCTACCTAATTACACAGACACCCTGGAAATAATTTCAGGGGAGGAATTATATCACACTTAGGAAGAAATGGCTAAAATCTGGGCTTTTAGGCTCCCAAATGGAGCTTAGAATTGTGTAGTTGTTATTCTAAAACGTTAAAAGCAGGGAAGAAGAAAATGTTTGGTCAGTAGCGAACTTCTCTTGAAAGAACAGAGCCAGAGTTTTATCCGCAGGACTCACACAAAAAGCCAGGGCTCTGTGCTTGCATTTGTAATCTCAGCACTGGGAGGCAGACAGGTGGAGCCTAGGGACACTGACCAGCCAGCCTATTGGCAAGCTCCAGGCCAGTGAGAAATCCTGTCTCGAAAAAAGTAGAAACAGTATTTGATATTATCCTTTACCCCCCACACATGCTCGTGCATGTACACACACACATGCATATACACTCAAACATGTGAACACACATGCATACCCACACACAAGCAAACAACAATACTAGCAAACTGCTACAACTTTTCATTTGGAAGATCCAGGGTTTTCTAATCTAAAGGCTAAATGAATCATAACTAAACACGCAACTAAAAGCAAGAGATTAGAAAAATAGCAGATGAAGCCCTAGGATGTCCCACTCTCGAGTCAATCAAACTGGGGAGAGCAGTATGCATGCTTTAGTGGATCCTCACATTGTCCCCATGCTCAGGCCTTCCTCAGGTTGTCGCCTGGCTCAGATCGTCCTCACACTAGTCCCAGGCTCAGACCTTCCTCAGGCTGCCCCATACTTAAGTATCCATACACTGGTGTTAGTGCAGGGGCAGCAGAAACGATGGAAAAACATTCCTCGGGCATATAGTAAGGGAAGAGCAGAGGCGATGCTGGTGTTAGTGGAAGTCAAGGGACAGTGAGTGCCATATAGGCTTCCTAAAGACTCTGAGAAGCACAGCAAATAAATGTAGCTCCCCATGCCCGGTAGACGCTAACAGATAGAAGCCAATCACAGGAAGAAGGCTACTGACCAGGCTGGAGGATGACGTACTGCATCCTAGACTATGGGACTAGGAGGACTGTGCTGAGGCCAGTGAAGTGTCACACCCCTTAGCAAGGAAGAAATCTAGAGCAACTGTTCCTCTCCAGAAAACCCAGGAGGTGGCAGGTCACATGCTAACGTTTTCATATCTGAGGAGTTTAATGAAGCTACTGAGAAAACCCGACGGATGTGGCTGGACTTAACTGTGGCATTCTCTTCTGTCTTCTGTCAACATAAGCAGAACGGAGGCTCAAGGAGATATTTAGTTGAGTTATAGACAAAAGTAAGTTGCTTTTTGTACAATTGTATCTGTGGCCTTGGAGGTTTGTGATCAATACACAATATCCATTCCTTAGTTAATGATTCATCTTATATTTGACTCACCTAGGCAACAAAGGAAACTTTTTTTTTATTCTCCAGATTTATTTTGGTAAAAAAAAATCAGATATAACCTTTCAAAAATTACATTAATGTTTAACATGCATTCAAATAAATTTCTTTTTTTTCCAGTTATAATTTAGATAAGAAACGAGGTTGCTTCACAAGTCAGTTCCAGGTCCCTCTCCCATTCCCTCCCCTCCTCCCGTGCCCTCCCCCCAACCCCCCCTGTTATCCCCTCATTCCCCCAGGGAGGGTGAGGCCCTCCATGGGGGTGTCCATAGTGTGTCATTTCATATAGGGCAGGGCCTAGACCCTTCCCCAAGAGTTCAGGGTGAGAGTGCACCTCACATTGTTCTATGGGAGTCCAGAGTCCGTGTGTATACTTGGGATGGGTACTGATCTGCTGCCCAAGGCTCAATAGGTTCCCTAGGCCTCCTCACTGACACCCAAATTCAGGGGGTATTGATCCAAAACAGCAAAGGACCCAATTAAAAAGTAGGCTGCAGAACTAAATAGAGAGTTTTCAATAGAGGAGTCTAAAATGGCTGAGAGGCACTTGAGAAAGTGCTCAACATCCTTAGCCATCCGGGAAATGCAAATCAAAACAACTCTGAGATACCATCTCACTCCTGTCAGAATGGCTAAAATCAAAAACACCGATGACAATTTATGCTGGAGAGGATGTGGTGAAAGGGGAACACTCCTCCATTGCTGGTGGGAGTGCCAACTGGTTCAGCCACTTTGGAAATCAGTATGGAGATTCCTCAGAAAAATGGGAATAAACCTACCACAAGACCCAGCAACTCCACTCTTAGGCATATATCCAAAAGATGCCCATTCATACAACAAAGATGTCTGTTCCACTATGTTCATAGCAGCTTTATTTGTAATAGCCAAAGGAAACTTTTATAGACAGGGTTGGAGAATGATGGGTTAGTCTGTAGGTGCTGGCAATTTGAAAAAACACAAGTTTTTTTTTAAGGTTCACTTAAGGTCAATTCAGGAAGGAACCGATACATTGCTAAAGCAGGTCTAAGAAGCAGTTGAGCAGACAGAATAAGATTTGGGGGGTTTACGGAGTTTGGTACGCACACTGTGGGCTGAGGTTGTCTTTGGCATTGGAGAGAAATCACTTACATCTCTGTGAAAGAGGAGGCCACTTCACCAAGGCTGTGCCCCTTCAGCAGCAGCAACCAGTGAGCACAATTGAGCTCATTTCCTGAATAAGGAGCGGACAGTTTTTTTCTACAATTCCTTAGGTTTTTCCAAGTGTCTCTGGTGCAGTTCTACAACTCTGCCACTAGGGCATGAAAGCAGTCATAGACAATAAATTAGAACGTACATGGCTGTGTGCCAACAAAACTTGATTGACAAAAATAAGTGGGATTCAGACTTGGCTTGAATATGATATATTTCTGTCTTAGAAAGTCCCCCAAATTAGTGAAAAAATAGCATAAAATAAAGAGTATAGGATGTCTGCAAAGATGCCATATAAAGAATGGGAAAGCCAAAGGCTAGACACAGAGCACATCCCAGAAACATTGACAAAGAGTTTTTCATGAGATGGAATTAAAGATAATATAATCTCTCTGGGAAGATAAGTGTTCAAAAAAGAGCTACAGAGAGCAAGAAACATGTGAGAAGGAAGAGTGAGAGTGGGGGGGAGGAGAGGAGAGAAAGGAGGGGGATAGAGGAAGGGAGAGAACAGGGGAGGGGGAGAAATAGAGGGGAGGGGAGCAGGAGGGGGAGGAGGAGGAGACAGGCGGCCACTCCATTGGTAGAGTTTGAAAGAAGAAAACGTGAAATCATACAGAAATGGATATTACATTTTTAGAAAGCAAGAAAGAAAATAAAAGACAGCTCTAAATGCTTTAAGGAGCATGAAGAACAAAATTGAAAATGAAATGGAATAAAGTGAATTATAAAAAAGAGATAATGATAAGAATGGAATCATAATGAAAGTTCAAAATAAGGATAATTCGATGTCTCTGGGGACAGCACAATGAATGGAACAGGAAAAGGCTCTCAGAATTATAACTCTAGGACATTTTATTGAAATAAAGTCAAAGCTGGATTTACAGATGGAAAGTCAGTACTCACTGCTCAGCATTGAAATACATTTGATGCTAATGGAACTTGGAGATAGAAAAAAAGTAAAATCTTTGGGCATCTAGGCAAAAACTCATGACACTTTGGAAA